TAGACCCCTTGTAATAAGTGAAACTAAATTAAAATCAGCTTTCAAAACGTCCATCAGCTGGAAAACCTCGCAGCAATAAAAAAAGAAAAAGTAAACTTAAGTAGTAGAAAAGTGTTTTAAGGTAACTGTAAACGTGGTTGCTCCCTCCTGAAAATGTTAACCCACATGTTATAATTTTAAGTAGAATATTCTGTACTTAGTCTTTAATTCGCCGACCATTGATGTATCCATGGGCCCCACGAAAAAAGGCCTTCTCCCCTGCTTGACGTGCTTGGCTGATGCGGGGCCACAGCGCTGCTCTCGCTTCCCTGTCCTCCTTTGTGAGGTCCTCCATGAAGCGAATGCCCGCATTTTTGCACACTGCAGAATCTTTGGTCATCTTCCAGAAACCATCTCTGTGGTGACGCCTTGTAAATTGAATAATGATGTATCTCACCCTACTGTCTGTCTTCGGACCAATTCGGTGCACTGTATCCACGATATGCTCCATGTCTTGTGCCCACTGAGGGGCGATTTGTTTGAGGAGAGTAATGACCTCGGCCCTGGTGTCTTCATTCATAGTCTCTCTCATGCCTTTAATCCTGAGATTCCATCGTCTTTTATAGCGGTCGTGTTCTCTGCATTTTTCTTGCAGGTCAACATTTTCGGCACGCATACGCCCTAACTCTTCTTCCACGCCAGAGACACGAACTTTACAGTCTTTAATCTCAGATGCATTGAATTCCACCGCTTTTGAGAGGCTAGCTAGCATTGCACCGTTCTGGGTTAGCTTACCATCGATCTCCTCCATTTTTCTTTCCTGTTTCTCAAACTTAATAGTTAGCATATTGATGGCAGCAAGAATGGCATTACTGGACCCATCTTCTTCAGCCGTTTTCGGATGTTTGCGAACATGTGCTCCTTTCGAGGGAGTAGCGGGCAGCGAGTCAGAAGTATCCAAATCTCTTTTTTCACCACCACGTTCTTCAACCATTTCTGATTCTGCCGACAGATAATCATGTCCGCTTTGCTCCAGAGAAACAGTGGTATGATTTGTTTGTTTGGACATTTTTCTTGCGATGTGTTGACGTACACTTACTAAGGAAAATCCAGGTTGAATTCTAGTGGGAATAGACATCAAAAAGTTAACTTTGGAGGGAGTTCACCGGAGCCCACGTGAGAGTGATCCGCTCACGTCGCCATCTTGCCTCGATCCGGAAGTACGACCACATTAGTCCTTACTAGAACCAGGAAGTACTATCACATTAGTCCTGACTAGAACCAGGAAGTACGACCACATTAGTCCTGACTAGAACCAGGAAGTACTATCACATTAGTCCTGACTAGAACCAGGAAGTACTATCACATTAGTCCTGACTAGAACCAGGAAGTACTATCACATTAGTCCTGACTAGAACCAGGAAGTAGCATCACATTAGTCCTGACTAGAACCAGGAAGTACCATCACATTAGTCCTGACTAGAACCAGGAAGTAGCATCACATTAGTCCTGCTCTCAGGTCTCTGCCCCTGTGACTCAAAATAGACTTTAAAGCAGCTCCGTTTGTTAGAAGTCTCTCCATGGAGCACAGGGACTGGCCTCCTGCTGGGACTCTGAGGAGCACAGGGACTGGCCTCCTGCTGGGACTCTGAGGAGCACAGGGACTGGCCTCCTGCTGGGACTCTGAGGAGCACAGGGACTGGCCTCCTGCTGGGACTCTGAGGAGCACAGGGACTGGCCTCCTGCTGGGACTCTGAGGAGCACAGGGACTGGCCTCCTGCTGGGACTCTGATGAGCACAGGGACTGGACTCCTGCTGGGACTCTGAGGAGCACAGGGACTGGTCTCCTGTCAGTGCCCAGAGTCAGGACTAAACATGAGGAGGCAGCGTTTCAGACTCATTAAAATCTGGGGCAATCTTCCTGAAAATGTGAGACTCATGTTAAAATGCTAACGTGTGTGAACCATGCTAACGTGTGTGAACCATGCTAACGTGTGTGAACTGTGCTAACGTGTGTAAACTGTGCTAACGTGTGTGAACTGTGCTAACGTGTGTAAACTGTGCTAACGTGTGTGAACTGTGCTAACGTGTGTGAACTGTGCTAACGTGTGTAAACCGTGCTAACGTGTGTGAACCGTGCTAACGTGTGTGAACCGTGCTAACGTGTGTGAACCATGCTAACGTGTGTGAACCATGCTAACGTGTGTGAACTGTGCTAACGTGTGTAAACTGTCTAACGTGTGTGAACTGTGCTAACGTGTGTGAACTGTGCTAACGTGTGTAAACCGTGCTAACGTGTGTGAACCGTGCTAACGTGTGTGAACCGTGCTAACGTGTGTGAACCGTGCTAACGTGTGTGAACCGTGCTAACGTGTGTGAACCGTGCTAACGTGTGTGAACTGTGCTAACGTGTGTGAACCGTGCTAACGTGTGTGAACCGTGCTAACGTGTGTGAACCGTGCTAACGTGTGTAAACCGTGCTAACGTGTGTAAACCGTGCTAACGTGTGTGAACCGTGCTAACGTGTGTGAACCGTGCTAACGTGTGTGAACTGTGCTAACGTGTGTGAACTGTGCTAACGTGTGTAAACCGTGCTAACGTGTGTAAACCGTGCTAACGTGTGTAAACCGTGCTAACGTGTGTGAACCATGCTAAACGTGTGTGAACTGTGCTAACGTGTGTGAACTGTGCTAACGTGTGTGAACCGTGCTAACGTGTGTGAACCGTGCTAACGTGTGTGAACTGTGCTAACGTGTGTGAACTGTGCTAACGTGTGTGAACCGTGCTAACGTGTGTGAACTGTGCTAACGTGTGTAAACTGTGCTAACGTGTGTGAACCGTGCTAACGTGTGTGAACTGTGCTAACGTGTGTGAACTGTGCTAACGTGTGTGAACTGTGCTAACGTGTGTAAACCGTGCTAACGTGTGTGAACCGTGCTAACGTGTGTGAACCGTGCTAACGTGTGTGAACCGTGCTAACGTGTGTGAACCGTGCTAACGTGTGTGAACCGTGCTAACGTGTGTGAACCGTGCTAACGTGTGTGAACCGTGCTAACGTGTGTGAACCGTGCTAACGTGTGTGAACCGTGCTAACGTGTGTGAACCGTGCTAACGTGTGTAAACCGTGCTAACGTGTGTGAACCGTGCTAACGTGTGTGAACCGTGCTAACGTGTGTGAACTGTGCTAACGTGTGTGAACCGTGCTAACGTGTGTGAACTGTGCTAACGTGTGTGAACCGTGCTAACGTGTGTGAACTGTGCTAACGTGTGTGAACCGTGCTAACGTGTGTGAACCGTGCTAACGTGTGTAAACTGTGCTAACGTGTGTGAACCGTGCTAACGTGTGTGAACTGTGCTAACGTGTGTGAACTGTGCTAACGTGTGTGAACCGTGCTAACGTGTGTGAACTGTGCTAACGTGTGTGAACTGTGCTAACGTGTGCTAACGTGTGTGAACTGTGCTAACGTGTGTGAACCGTGCTAACGTGTGTGAACTGTGCTAACGTGTGTGAACTGTGCTAACGTGTGTGAACTGTGCTAACGTGTGTAAACTGTGCTAACGTGTGTGAACTGTGCTAACGTGTGTGAACTGTGCTAACGTGTGTGAACCGTGCTAACGTGTGCTAACGTGTGTAAACTGTGCTAACGTGTGTGAACTGTGCTAACGTGTGCTAACGTGTGCTAACGTGTGTGAACTGTGCTAACGTGTGCTAACGTGTGCTAACGTGTGTGAACTGTGCTAACGTGTGTGAACTGTGCTAACGTGTGTGAACCGTGCTAACGTGTGTGAACCGTGCTAACGTGTGTGAACTGTGCTAACGTGTGCTAACGTGTGCTAACGTGTGTGAACTGTGCTAACGTGTGCTAACGTGTGTGAACTGTGCTAACGTGTGCTAACGTGTGTGAACTGTGCTAACGTGTGCTAACGTGTGCTAACGTGTGTGAACCGTGCTAACGTGTGTGAACCGTGCTAACGTGTGCTAACGTGTGCTAACGTGTGTGAACTGTGCTAACGTGTGTGAACTGTGCTAACGTGTGTAAACTGTGCTAACGTGTGTAAACTGTGCTAACGTGTGTGAACTGTGCTAACGTGTGTGAACTGTGCTAACGTGTGTGAACCGTGCTAACGTGTGTGAACCGTGCTAACGTGTGCTAACGTGTGTGAACCGTGCTAACGTGTGTGAACTGTGCTAACGTGTGTAAACTGTGCTAACGTGTGTAAACTGTGCTAACGTGTGTGAACTGTGCTAACGTGTGTGAACTGTGCTAACGTGTGTGAACTGTGCTAACGTGTGTGAACCGTGCTAACGTGTGTGAACCGTGCTAACGTGTGCTAACGTGTGCTAACGTGTGTGAACTGTGCTAACGTGTGTGAACCGTGCTAACGTGTGTGAACCGTGCTAACGTGTGTGAACCGTGCTAACGTGTGTGAACCGTGCTAACGTGTGTGAACCGTGCTAACGTGTGTGAACCGTGCTAACGTGTGTGAACCGTGCTAACGTGTGTGAACTGTGCTAACGTGTGTGAACCGTGCTAACGTGTGTGAACTGTGCTAACGTGTGTGAACTGTGCTAACGTGTGTGAACCGTGCTAACGTGTGTGAACTGTGCTAACGTGTGTGAACCGTGCTAACGTGTGTGAACCGTGCTAACGTGTGTGAACCGTGCTAACGTGTGCTAACGTGTGTGAACTGTGCTAACGTGTGTGAACCGTGCTAACGTGTGCTAACGTGTGCTAACGTGTGTGAACTGTGCTAACGTGTGTGAACCGTGCTAACGTGTGTGAACCGTGCTAACGTGTGTGAACCGTGCTAACGTGTGTGAACCGTGCTAACGTGTGTGAACCGTGCTAACGTGTGCTAACGTGTGTGAACTGTGCTAACGTGTGCTAACGTGTGTGAACTGTGCTAACGTGTGCTAACGTGTGCTAACGTGTGCTAACGTGTGTGAACCGTGCTAACGTGTGCTAACGTGTGTGAACCGTGCTAACGTGTGTGAACCGTGCTAACGTGTGTGAACCGTGCTAACGTGTGCTAACGTGTGCTAACGTGTGGGTGAGGGAGGGGGAGGTGTGGGTGAGGGAGGGGGAGGTGTGGGTGAGGGAGGGGGAGGTGTGGGTGAGGAGGGGGAGGTGTGGGTGAGGGAGGGGGAGGTGTGGGTGAGGGAGGGGGAGGTGTGGGTGAGGAGGGGGAGGTGTGGGTGAGGGAGGGGGAGGTGTGGGTGAGGGAGGGGGAGGTGTGGGTGAGGAGGGGGAGGTGTGGGTGAGGGAGGGGGAGGTGTGGGTGAGGGAGGGGGAGGTGTGGGTGAGGAGGGGGAGGTGTGGGTGAGGGAGGTGTGGGTGAGGGAGGGGGAGGTGTGGGTGAGGAGGGGGAGGTGTGGGTGAGGGAGGGGGAGGTGTGGGTGAGGGAGGGGGAGGTGTGGGTGAGGAGGGGGAGGTGTGGGTGAGGGAGGGGGAGGTGTGGGTGAGGAGGGGGAGGTGTGGGTGAGGGAGGGGAGGTGTGGGTGAGGGAGGGGGAGGTGTGGGTGAGGGAGGGGGAGGTGTGGGTGAGGGAGGGGGAGGTGTGGGTGAGGGAGGGGGAGGTGTGGGTGAGGAGGGGGAGGTGTGGGTGAGGGAGGGGGAGGTGTGGGTGAGGGAGGGGGAGGTGTGGGTGAGGAGGGGGAGGTGTGGGTGAGGAGGGAGTGAGGGTAATAACAGATGGACCTCCCCCATCAACTTACTACAATAATATTACTTGCATTCAACAACTTTGTTTCATGACTCCAGACCAGAGAGACCAGAGAGAGAGACCAGAGAGAGAGACCAGAGAGAGAGACCAGAGAGAGAGACCGGAGAGAGAGACCAGAGAGAGAGACCAGAGAGAGAGACCGAGAGAGAGACCGGAGAGAGACTAGAGAGAGAGACCAGAGAGAGAGACCAGAGAGAGAGACCAGAGAGAGACTAGAGAGAGAGACCAGAGAGAGAGACCAGAGAGAGAGACCAGAGAGAGACTAGAGAGAGACCACAGAGGGAGAGACCAGAGAGAGAGACCAGAGAGAGAGACCAGAGAGAGAGACCAGAGAGAGACTAGAGAGAGACCACAGAGAGAGAGACCAGAGAGAGAGACCAGAGAGAGAGACCAGAGAGAGAGACCAGAGAGAGAGACCAGAGAGAGACCAGAGAGAGAGACCAGAGAGAGAGACCAGAGAGAGAGACCGGAGAGAGAGACCAGAGAGAGAGACCAGAGAGAGAGACCGGAGAGAGAGACTAGAGAGAGAGACCAGAGAGAGAGACCAGAGAGAGAGACCAGAGAGAGACTAGAGAGAGACCACAGAGAGAGAGACCAGAGAGAGAGACCAGAGAAAGACTAGAGAGAGACCACAGAGGGAGAGACCAGAGAGAGAGACCAGAGAGAGAGACCAGAGAGAGAGACCAGAGAAAGACTAGAGAGAGACCACAGAGAGAGAGACCAGAGAGAGAGACCAGAGAGAGACTAGAGAGAGACCAGAGAGAGAGACCAGAGAGAGAGACCAGAGAGAGAGACCAGAGAGAGAGACCAGAGAGAGAGACCAGAGAGAGACCAGAGAGAGAGACCAGAGAGAGAGACCAGAGAGAGACCACAGAGAGAGACCAGAGAGAGACCAGAGAGAGACCAGAGAGAGAGACCAGAGAGAGAGACCAGAGAGAGAGACCAGAGAGAGAGACCAGAGAGAGAGACCAGAGAGAGAGACCAGAGAAAGACTAGAGAGAGACCACAGAGAGAGAGACCAGAGAGAGAGACCAGAGAGAGAGACCAGAGAGAGAGACCAGAGAGAGAGACCAGAGAGAGAGACCAGAGAGAGACCAGAGAGAGACCAGAGAGAGAGACCAGAGAGAGAGACCAGAGAAAGACTAGAGAGAGACCACAGAGAGAGAGACCAGAGAGAGAGACCAGAGAGAGAGACCAGAGAGAGAGACCAGAGAGAGAGACCAGAGAGAGAGACCAGAGAAAGACTAGAGAGAGACCACAGAGAGAGAGACCAGAGAGAGACCAGAGAGAGACTAGAGAGAGACCACAGAGAGAGAGACCAGAGAGAGAGACCAGAGAGAGAGACCAGAGAGAGAGACCAGAGAGAGACCAGAGAGAGAGACCACAGAGAGAGACCAGAGAGAGACCAGAGAGAGACCAGAGAGAGAGACCAGAGAGAGAGACCAGAGAGAGAGACCAGAGAGAGAGACCAGAGAGAGAGACCAGAGAGAGAGACCAGAGAGAGAGACCAGAGAGAGAGACCAGAGAGAGACTAGAGAGAGACCACAGAGAGAGAGACCAGAGAGAGAGACCAGAGAAAGACTAGAGAGAGACCACAGAGAGAGAGACCAGAGAGAGAGACCAGAGAGAGAGACCAGAGAGAGAGACCAGAGAGAGAGACCAGAGAAAGACTAGAGAGAGACCACAGAGAGAGAGACCAGAGAGAGAGACCAGAGAGAGAGACTAGAGAGAGACCACAGAGAGAGAGACCAGAGAGAGAGACCAGAGAGAGAGACCAGAGAGAGAGACCAGAGAGAGAGACCAGAGAGAGACCAGAGAGAGAGACCAGAGAGAGAGACCACAGAGAGAGACCAGAGAGAGACCAGAGAGAGACCAGAGAGAGACCAGAGAGAGAGACCAGAGAGAGAGACCAGAGAGAGAGACCAGAGAGAGAGACCAGAGAGAGACCAGAGAGAGAGACCAGAGAGAGAGACCAGAGAGAGAGACCAGAGAAAGACTAGAGAGAGACCACAGAGAGAGAGACCAGAGAGAGAGACCAGAGAGAGAGACCAGAGAGAGAGAGACCAGAGAGAGAGACCAGAGAGAGAGACCAGAGAGAGAGACCAGAGAGAGACCAGAGAGAGAGACCAGAGAGAGAGACCAGAGAGAGAGACCAGAGAAAGACTAGAGAGACCACAGAGAGAGAGACCAGAGAGAGACTAGAGAGAGACCACAGAGAGAGAGACCAGAGAGAGAGACCAGAGAGAGAGACCAGAGAGAGACCAGAGAGAGAGACCAGAGAGAGAGACCACAGAGAGAGACCAGAGAGAGAGACCAGAGAGAGACCAGAGAGAGACCAGAGAGAGACCAGAGAGAGAGACCAGAGAGAGAGACCAGAGAGAGAGACCACAGAGAGAGACCAGAGAGAGAGACCAGAGAGAGACCAGAGAGAGACCAGAGAGAGACCAGAGAGAGACCAGAGAGAGACCAGAGAGAGACCAGAGAGAGAGACCAGAGAGAGAGACCACAGAGAGAGACCAGAGAGAGAGACCAGAGAGAGACCAGAGAGAGGACCAGAGACTAGAGAGAGAGACCAGAGAGAGACCAGAGAGAGACCAGAGAGAGACCAGAGAGAGAGACCAGAGAGAGAGACCAGAGAGAGAGACCAGAGAGAGACCAGAGAGAGAGACCAGAGAGAGACCAGAGAGAGAGACCAGAGAGAGAGACCAGAGAGAGAGACCAGAGAGAGAGACCAGAGAGAGACCAGAGAGAGACCAGAGAGAGAGACCAGAGAGAGAGACCAGAGAGAGAGACCAGAGAGAGAGACCAGAGAGAGAGACCACAGAGAGAGACCAGAGAGAGAGACCAGAGAGAGACTAGAGAGAGACTAGAGAGAGACTAGAGAGAGAGACCAGAGAGAGACCAGAGAGAGACCAGAGAGAGAGACCAGAGAGAGAGACCAGAGAGAGAGACCAGAGAGAGAGACCAGAGAGAGACCAGAGAGAGAGACCAGAGAGAGACCAGAGAGAGACCAGAGAGAGACCAGAGAGAGACCAGAGAGAGACCAGAGAGAGAGACCAGAGAGAGACCAGAGAGAGACCAGAGAGAGAGACCAGAGAGAGACCAGAGAGAGACCAGAGATAGAGACCAGAGAGAGAGACCAGAGAGAGACCAGAGAGAGACCAGAGAGAGACCAGAGAGAGAGACCAGAGAGAGAGACCAGAGAGAGACTAGAGAGAGACCACAGAGAGAGAGACCAGAGAGAGAGACCAGACAGAGACCAGAGAGAGAGACCAGAGAGAGACTAGAGAGAGAGACTAGAGAGACCAGAGAGAGACCAGAGAGAGACTAGAGAGAGACTAGAGAGAGACCAGAGAGAGAGACCAGAGAGAGAAGACCAGAGAGAGAGACCAGAGAGAGAGAGACCAGAGAGAGACCAGAGAGAGAGACCAGAGAGAGACCAGAGAGAGACCAGAGAGAGACCAGAGAGAGACCAGAGAGAGACCAGAGAGAGAGACCAGAGAGAGAGACCAGAGAGAGAGACCAGAGAGAGACCAGAGAGAGACCAGAGAAGAGAGACTAGCAGATACACGGACTGCGAACACAATCGTCGCTTCGCGTTCAAAAAAGGAGTGGCCTCGGACGTCTCGACCTCTCACTGCTCATGGCAGAAGAAAAAGCAAAAAGTTTCCCGCCGTGACCACGTTCTGCAATACATTTATACTTTTACACCCAAGGTCAATGACATCTACACCTGAGTATGGACTCCTTCTGGCCTACAGCCCAACGTTTGCACCTGCTCTGATAACTCGTTGTCTCCATCTTGTCCCCAAGCACAATTACTCACACAGACTATACCTTGAACTCACTTCGCTTTGAGAGTTACACCAATACAAGTGCTATTTTGTGGGCAAATTGCAAAACCATACTGAAACTGGTTGGTTTAGTGTAAACTGGTGCAAGGACGTTAATATTCCAACAGTTACCCCCATGGTTGGCCGGTAGCGGCTACATCACTTCGGACATCCAATCACTCGCGGCGTACAGTGGCCCAGCTTTCATGCAGTGGATTCCAGCTCATTTATCTATGCCTTATCTACGCAGTCTAATCCCAGACTGCACGAGCGATTCTGTTGAAACTCACCTAGAACCACCCCACTGTGATACATGAAGGAAAAATCGTGGTGGTCTTCCAACTCAGCCCCTTACTTCCTGGAACCCCCCCAAAAGGCCGCGGCGCTGTGATACACCCCTGAGCATTCCAACTTCCACACCTACTAACACATACATATGAAGTGTATCGCCTATAAGAACATATCTGATATGTGGGTGCTTGCTGCTGGGATTGGTGTCCTAGTCTGGTGTAAACAAATAACAATTAGTGGCAAGAGCTGTGGAGTAAAGTATTATGTTTGTGTCGTGCATCAATTGTGGGATCTATGTTAAGGGGTTTATTATATTTTTAATATTGTATAAATTTTTATATAATTTTGGTTATAGCGGCATTCCCCGAGTTATGTCCCATAGTCCGCTCTTACAATTTGGCCGTAAGGTTATGGTAGGCCCGTTATTTACAGGCAAGCAGGTATACAGTTTGTGATTAAATTATTGTCGAGAATATCAGAAAGCATACTCACATCCTCACGCTCGGGGGATACACTCCTGACATGCATCTCACAGGTCCATACTCATCCTCGGTCTTCTGAGGATTGTCCTTTACTGGGCTTAGGCTAACTGGGCATCACAGTCTTCCTGGTTCCCACTGTAACGGTCCTGGTTTAGTAGCCAGTGTGGTCGTCTCTGCCATCCTTGCCAACGTCCACGCGGGCACTGGTTTCTCACCTAGGTTACCATAAGGAATCGTAGATGGACACGGGAATACAATCAGCATCCACTTTAGAGCGTCAGGATTGCTGCAAAAAAGAATTAACAAAAAAAAAAAAGCCACGCGATAGCGGAATGAGTTGACTGCGTATCAGTGCCTTGTATTCGGCCAAACACAGCC